TTTTCTTTGATATCAATAAGTACATTATTTTGATATATATTATGTTATGTTTGGCAAACTTACAAACTCTTAATTCTTAACTTTGATGGTGCTCATTTTTCCTTACCTGGAATCAAAGAGTTTAAGATTTTTTTCTTTGATATCAATAAGTACATTATTTAACAACTGTTCGATAATAATACTAAATAAATTACTTCAAGCCATACTATAACACATTTCCTCTTTTAAAAGTGTTCATACTATTTGAAATATTTTGCAACTGTAATTCTCTTCTACATTTAAAGATTGTTATGTCCCTCCATATTAAGAAGAGGTCTGGAAAACAAATTTTGTGCTAAAAATAGACCACGTGCTGCTATCCATGAACTACTTTCATGGTTCTTTACACTCTTTTTGAAGACAACGATACCTTGTTTTGAACTTGAAATTATCATTTAAAAGTGCAAAATTTAGACATTTTCTCAACAAATTGTTGTAGAGAGAACATTGATGCACAGTTTGCATATTTTTTTGGATTTTTTAAGGCTCTGCTGAATTCTGTAGGTGCGCAGTTCTAAGGAGCATATCAAAAGCATTTTTCTGCAAAAGTATAGATTATATATGCACAACATGCATTCAGTTATGAATATTTATTGTATCTTTATCATAAGGACTTAAAATTTGATCAAAATATGATGTATTTTAGCCATTTGAAGAAATGTTTACATTTTGTTCTCACGGCACTAAAGGTGGCCGTACATCCCCCTTAAGAACAACTGGACCAGAAAAACTGAAACTTATGTGGAAACATACTGAGGTAGTGTAGATTCTGAATTGTAAAATTCATGACCTTCGGGGGTAGGGCGGGGCCACAATTGATAGGGAATTCAAGTTTTACATAGAAATATTTAGGAACAATCTTTAAAAAATTTCTTCTCAAGAACCAGCTAGTGGGCCAGGAAAGATGAAACTTATGTGGTAGCATCCTCGTGTAGTGTAAATTCTAAATTGTAAAAATCATGACCCCCAGGGGTAGGGAGGGGCCACAATAGGGAATCCAAGTTTTACATAGAAATATATAGGAACAATCTTTAAAAATCTTCTTCTCAAGAACCAGTGGGTCAGGAAAGATGAAACTTATGTGGAAGCATTCTGGGTAGTGTAGATTCTAAATTGTTAAATTCATGACCCCTTGGAGTAGGGCGGGGCCACGATAGGAAGTCCTAGTTTTATATAAAACAAGTATATACTGACAAAACGTCAGAGATACTCAAGCTGTAGAAAGTCAACTAGGAAGTGTCATTAATATCCTAAAATGGTATAAGATGAGGGTTATCGAGTTCAGTCTTAGAACTGTTAAATAAAATACATGTACATGAAACAAAATTCATACATAATATTGAATTTAATTAGAATAAATATAATTAATGGTACTACTTTTTAAAATGAATTTACTTACTTACTTTTAGCAATATTTTATGGAGCATAGTGGCCGTTTCTTAATTTAATGAAAATTTTTTTATGTTGATATACTTCAAACTATATGTACGTTTTTTTGTTTTTTTTTTGCTTAATGAAGTACATCGATCACACGGGTTCATCTGGCTGTGCGATATCCGTATGAATCCAAACGAAGTTATATAGGTTCGTTACCAAAGCTAAAGATAACTAGAACGATCTTTTGAAATTAAAAAAAAATACGAGGGAAGTTTTATAATTGATGTTATGCTATTATTTTACTGTCCTTCTAAGTGGATATGCACTTCATTCTCAGGCCCGTGAGAAGCAATTTCAATATGGGGGGTACAACCATACATTTTCTGGCCATGCATAGTAGAATTTGTTAACGATGGGATAACCTGCATTACCTTTCAGAGTAAACAGTGGACTCGTCCAATGATGCTTTGTCAGCGTCTGTAAAAGTTACCTGAGATTCTTACGCAAAGGAAAGCGCGAAATCTCTGTATAGAAACTGTTGCGGCTGCGGAGCTTCACTCATTGTTCATTCGCCATAGAAAAGAATCCGACATTTAACGCTTAATATCTTTGAATATACAGACTTTATCAAAATAAGCTTCATTTTTGTTTCTAGAAATATTTTTATCTACAAAAATAATATCTTTTCGTGTATTTTAACTGAGTAAATCGATGACCTAGCATCGTTTTAGATAACTCAAGCCCCTCTAGGGCTTGAGTAAATATATTGGAAAAGTCTTCTTCTCAGGCACCAGTGGGCAAGGAAAGCTGAAACTTAGGTGGAAAAATCCTTGAGAAGTGTAGATTCAGGTTTGTTCAAATCATGTTCAAATCATGAACCATTGGGATAGGGCGGGGCCATAATAGGGAGTCCTAGTTTTATATAGAAATATATTGGAAAAATCTTCTTCTCAGGCGCCAGTGAGCAAGGAAAGCTGAAGCTTATGTGGAAGCATCCTTGGGTAATGTAAATACTTAAATGTTAAAATCAAGATGAGGGTTTGGAGGGGGTAGGGGGCCACATTAGATGTAAGAAGAGGGCAAATCTGGTAAAGAACTGCATCATCAAAGTTACTCAGGTGAGCGTTGTGGCCCTTGGGCCTCTTTTTTTTTTTTTAAATAATGCCTATTAATAAAATAATGACTTGGACCAGGAATAGACCTAATATAGGCCACATAATCAAGAAGATGAAGATAATTAGCAGTGATCATGGTGACCAACCTCCCAAAACATGTGAACTCAGCAAAACATGGAAAAAAAAATACTTATGATACTGAGGTCAATCGGCAATCCTCGGCTGACTCCGCTACGCTTCATTCAAACAAGTTAGTGTGCAAGGTACTAGCCACCAGAAGAGCTCCGAGTGATTATAGGTAGATGGAACATTCCCTAGTTAAATTCAGTTTTAAAACCGGTCCAGTGATTAATTAATTAACAACTAATATTATAACAACCATAGCTTTACACGGGGAAGTTGAAATCCCTGTAACGTCAACTTATCTGTCACAACTGTAAATAGCCTGTTTCTGAGTAAAAACTGATCATACACGGATCTTGCTCTTGAGTATCGAATAAGGTACGTTAAAAACGTAAACACCATATACAGGTTATAGTAGAATATTACTACACAAACTAGAGGTACTGTGAGCAATGAGCTCACTAAATGATACCCCCCGCCTCCCATGCAATTATAACTGATGACAAAGTCCATGTTTTGCTGTGGCCGGGAAACCCAAAATATGTGCATGTCAGATAAAAAAGTAAAATAGGAGGTGCACAATGGCAATATGTAATAAAGATTCTATGAAAGATTCATTAAATTTCACTCAGTTGTATAAGAGGAGTTGCGGATAAGAGATGGGTACCCTAAAGCGTAACAGATGGACGGAAGGACGGACGTACAGACAGACAGACATACCGATTACAGTATACCCTCCCACTTTTCAAGCGGGGGGTATAATGAGCTTATCTGGGAAATTTAACGATGGAAAAGCTGAATTTATTACATTTGTAAGTACATGTAAATAGCTTAGCCGTCAATTGGCCCTTATCGCCTATAGTCAGAAAAACTGTGAATATTCCTGTGAATAAGGTGAAGTAGAAAATTAAACATCGTCGATGTACATATAATCTGTATTTAAGTTGTTCGCTACTTCTCATATTATTTAGAAGTTTCTGAATAAGTTCTGCATTACTAATAGGTATTTATAAGAATAAGTTTGATAATAAATCAAAGGCGCATAATTCATTAGTACCAATCTAAACACAATCCGAGGTTCTTGTGGACAGGACCGCTACCTCGATAAACTAGATTCAGTGAGGGTACTGTGAGCGATGAGCTCACTAAATGATACCCCCGCCTCCATTATAGTTATAATGGCAAATTCCATGTTTTGCTGTGGCTGGGAAACCCAAAATATGTGTCGGATAAAAAAGTAAAATAGAAGGTCACAATGGCAATATGTAATAAAGATTCTGTGAAAGTTTCATCAAATTTCATTCAGTGGTATGAGAGGAGTTGCGGATAAGAGATGGGTACCCCAAAGCGTAACAGACGGACGGAATTAACGATTACTATATATACCCTCCCACTTTTCAAGCGGGGGGTATAATAATGTTTAGCTAAGTGAATTTGTTAAACATCCCCCCCCCCCTCAATATATATTTAATACAATAGTAACAATATTTTTATGATCACGTATATCATTGGAGTAATGGAGAAAAACTCAGAACAAAAAACACCCAGTTTCATACGATAACCTTCTTATTATACCCCAGCTTGAAAAGCGGGAGGGTATATAGTAATCGTTAATTCCGTCCGTCCGTCCGTTTATCAAATTAAAGGCATATATTCGCACCACTGCCGTACACAGGGTACACAGTGCATGAGAGAGGCATACCGATATATTTTACATGTAGTATATTGTATTACAAAATATAGCCACTTTATACCTCCTTCGTTTTCAACATTAAATTTCCTTCAGGCCCGTTAGAGGCAATTCAGTTCAGTGGGGGGGGGGGGGGGGGGGGGGGGGGGGGGGGGGGGGCTCAACCAAACATTTTCACTGAATTGCCCCCGCCACCCCTGGGCCCTCATTTAAAAAAATCTCTTTGGACTTTGAGTGTTTCTTCACCCTCCAAAAACACGTGAAATAGTTTTGAAGTTGGGGCCCACTTAAATTGTTTTTTATTTTGTCCTAGTTTCGTGAATACCTGAATTTTTATCAATAAGTTAAATATCGAAAAATTCTAACCCCCCCCCCCCCCCCCCCATATATAAATACACGTGTATTTATATATAGAGGGGGTAAAATTTTTCGATATTTGGCATATTGAGAGACTGATTGATAAAAATTCAGGTGCCTTTGGAATACTATTTAGCCAGCTTCCCTCAAATGGTACTTCGCTAAAACTACTTTTACACCGTTCTTTAGAGCAGCTGGTCGGAGATTTACGATGACAGCCGAATGCTGCGTAGCGGAGTTAGACGAGGATTGCCGATTGTTTCTGCCAATCAAATGATGACTTTCGGTTTTGCCTACAAATTTTCCAAGAATATAGAGGAGTACTGTAAAGAGTTTGATTTTAAGAGGTATTATAATTGTGAAAATTACGATGCTGTATTATTTTATTACATATAGGCCTAGTTAAAATTTTAGGAGCACTATTTTTCACTGCCAGGCGACAAAGTATAAAAAATATCAAGCTTTGTAGACAGTCATGAGAGACATCTGCAGTACTTTCGTTTTCATTTACCCCATGTATTCAGTGTCCGAGTGTTTCTTTTTGAAAATGTCAAATATAAATAAGTCATGCAGTCTTCTTAAAGTAATAAAAAAGATTATAAAGCTTTTGTCACAATGAAATTGTTACTTCCCCCTTAATCCCCAAATATGAAATTACACATTTACAATAGTTGCATGATACTTTCGTTTTATCAGGTCCGGCACAATCTCTTGATTAAGCTATAAGCTTTATTTAGCTGTATGGCTTAACTAAGCTATTCAGAATAGCTTGATTAAGCTATTTTCTCAGACTTTTTTTCTCAAATGTGTTATTTTTTCAACATGTGCAAAAAGTCGCACCTTGGTGCAGTGGAAATATTGTCATCTCGTATCCTATTTTCGACCGTATTGTATTTTCGACCTATTTTTCCCAATCTGTTTCCCATGCAGATACCGCGCGGTAAAACATTATTTTCGGTTTCTACACTTGGAAAAATACCTTTCAAGCACAACTGTATTGAAAATACCCAAAATAATTTATTCAACGGAATTCCCTCCGTGGTTTTAGTCCGATGTCAGAAATTCTGTTCTTTTTACTAATGCACATTTTATCTGTAGATTACTCAAAGCCGTAATCGGTTAATAAAAAAGATTTTTTGATGACATTTTCCCGAAAGAAAGAAAAAATCTCTGTCAAAGAGACACATGAATATTGAAATGAATGGGTGGATCAAACGAATTTTTTTTCTCCCTTAGATATGGGCACTTTCTTAGAGATTTTTACTGAAAAATGCAACGTTATTTCATTGATTTCTTTTGGAAATGCACAGCTCCTGACAAATATGTTCAACCAACGAATAAATGTATTTGCAACTGAAATATGGAACTTGTTCAATGTTTTTTGAAAGACAGGCAATCGTATTTTTATTGTTTGGAATAGCCATCAGATATTTAAAGCCAATACTGTTTGGTCATTGATACTTTATTTAGGTCGAAAACACAAGACGCTAATAGCATACATGTTAACTCTCCCGATTTAGGCGGGAGTCTACCGCTTTTTCATTCCATCTCCCGCCTACCGATTTAATGCAGAAATCTACCGCTTTTCTACAAAAGCTTCGTCTAAAGTATTTTTGGTTCGCTTGGGTATCCATTTTTGAAGCCACTCTCATAAAATCTCGCTAGATATCGTGTGATTTGACTCGGAATCATACAAACGCTTTCTTTGTACTTAGATTTCAAGCACGGATTTGACAACGACAACAACACAAGACTACCAGTGATTACATTGGTTACGATAAATTAATCAACATCCCTGCCATGAAAAAGGAGATACAGCTTTTAAGAATTAAATGAAAACATTTGACATCGTCTTTAAAAGCACAGAAGCTCACAACTTTATCAATAAAGTCAATAGAAATCACTCGATTGACCAAGCCATGTTGCACATCTGTACTTTCGTTTTCGATCATCGCGGGAAATCTGATTTATATAACGAAAGATAGGAACTTGCTTTAGATCTAGATTAAACCATTTTATCATTTGTTTTGTTTAAAAACTGAATGAATATTTTGAATTATTGCTTCTAGGCTAAATCAGCAAATATCACTCTTCACAAGGCTAAGTAAAGTAGCCAATCCAAGCAAAATGATGAGCATGAAAAATATTTGAATTTGTACAATTTATGTCAAACTTAAGGTTTTTCTGTCTTCTTCTTTGCTGTTGATATTTAAGATTAATTAGTGTAGGTACCTGATTTCATTTAAGGCTTATAATATACATGTATATATTACATGAAAGATATCGATAATCGAAGCGTTAAACAACACGCGCGCAATGCTACCGCTTTTGAGGTCTGAATCTCCCTCTTTTTCATCACAATAGGTTAACATGTATGCTAATATTTTTGTAGGTAAAAATGCACCCTCCCCATATTATGGCATATAAATAAAATAAACACAAAACTGCAATTTGGGTTGTATAATTTTATTCATAGACACATATGCTAACATTTTAAGCCCATAGTTTTTCAGCTTCTGTAAAGTTTGCAATAAATTAATAAATTACATCTAAATAGGTCGAAAATACAATACACCAGGATAAACTTTGTACTTTGTATTTGACACAATATGCCATAAATTATAGCATCCAATCCACTAAGACACTCAGAAAGCTGGGAACCATAATTCTTTGAATTTGTTTGTTGTGTAACGTCGCCGTAGCGTTCAAAGAGCGATAACTCTTTATTTTCAATCCTCTGAATGAATTACGCAAAGTACGTTTAAAAGTTTATTTGCACTATTTACACATCATAATAAAATCACAATAACATCCAATAATCACACACATATAATCCCAGTATTAAAACAATAATATAATCCAATGTTCACATAAGTACAGATTCTGAGCAAGTGTTTTTTTCTGAGAACATCCCCCCTATATATATCTTTAGGCCATTGCTCGCGAGGAGCAATGCGTGTTGGTCATTATATAATAGTTGACCATTGCTCGCGAGGAGCAATGGTACGTAAACAAAGACTACAGGTATCTATAATTATATAATAATGGAATCAAATATAAACAAACATAATAATAATTAAAGACCGTTACAACTTCCCCCCACTTAAGTTTTTGACTCCGTTCAAAAGAAACTGACTATTTACAAAACAAGAGGCCCACGGGCCTTATAGGTCACCTGAGTATTGTGCAACAACTTTCAAATTATTAAATTTGGTTCCTGTTTTAAACCAGAGGCCATGAAATTCGCAATTCACAATATTGAAAGAGGCACCATTGCTTATCATAATTATAGACTTAGCATGCTTACTCTATTTACTTAATACCAAAAGGAAGATCAGAGTAACATAGAGAAAATGCACTTCTGCTTTTATAACTAGTTGTGCACATCATCCCAAAGGAACCCCTGACATTGGGGCCACATATTTCAAAATTTTGCAAATTTTATCATAAAATGGTTGATTAATACCTAAGAGCAGATTTCAAAGCATTAATTTTATTTTCAGACTATGTACCACCACCCCACCCCCCCAACCCAGGAAGGGGGGGGCATAAAAAAATAACCATTTTGCTAGATGCACCTTTCTTCATCATAAATATATATTCTTAGATCATTGGCATAAAACCCAGGAGCAAAGAAGAAGATTTTCAAAGAATTAATGCATTTTCACTATATGATCAATAGAGCCCCGCCCTAACACCAGAACCCCTGACCCTGGGGCCACAAAATTCAAAATTTTGGAAGAGGCACTCTTGCTCATCATAACTATGTACTTAGTTAGTTTATTTAATACCCAGAATCAGAGGAGAAGATTTTCAAAGAATAAATGCATTTTCACTATATAACCAATAGTGCCCCGCCCTAACACCAGAACCCATAACCCTGGGGCCAAAAAATTCACAATTTTGGAAGAGGCACTCTTGCTTATCATAACTATGTACTTAGTTAGTTTATTTAATACACAGAATCAGAGGAGAGGATTTTCAAAGAATAAATGCATTTTCACTATATAACCAATAGTGCCCCACCCTAACACCAGAACCCCTGACCCTGGGGCCACAAAATTCACAATTTTGGAAGAGGCACTCTTGCTCATCATAACTATGTACTTAGTTAGTTTACTTAATACCCAGGAGCAGAGAAGAAGATTTTCAAAGAAATCATGCATTTTCACTATATAATCTATATAGCCCCGCCCTAACACCAGAACCCCTGACCCTGGGGCCACAAAATTCACAATTTTGGAAGAGGCACTCTTGCTCATCATAACTATGTACTTAGTTAGTTTATTTAATACCCAGAATCAGAGGAGAAGATTTTCAAAGAATAAATGCATTTTCACTATATAACCAATAGTGCCCCGCCCTAACACCAGAACCCCTGACCCTGGGGCCACAAAATTCACAATTTTGGAAGAGGCACTCTTGCTCATCATAACTATGTACTTAGTTAGTTTACTTAATACCCAGGAGCAGAGAAGAAGATTTTCAAAGAAATCATGCATTTTCACTATATAATCTATATAGCCCCGCCCTAGCACTAGAACCCCTGACCCTGGGGCCGTGAATTTCACAATATTGGTAGAGGACTCAATGCTCATTACATTCATGCCAACAGTTTGCCTGCTTGATGTCCAGGAGTAAAGAAGAAGATTTTTAAAGATTGCAATAATTTTAGTGGTTTTGGCCCCACCCCTCAGGCCCCAGGGGGGCGGGGACCATAAAATTCACAATTTTTGTTCCCCTTCACCCATAGATGCTGTATACCAAATTTGGTTGAAATTGGTTCAGTGGTTTCAGAGAAGAAGCTGAAAATGTTCAAATGTTAACACACCACGGATGACAGACGACACACGACGACGGACGAAAACGGATAGCAATAGGTCACCTGAGTTACTCAGGTGACCTAAAAAAAATGTACAGATATAATCTTCAATCTCCATAGTTAAACAAGTTAATAAACACAAAAATAAGTATTAAAAAATAATAATAACTAGATGAGATCTCGTTGCGAGCAACGAGTAGGTCTTCCGTTCGATTTTTGATAAGATCATAAAACAACTTTAAATGAAAAAAATGTTCATATCAATTAATGAAAATACGTGAAAATACGTGAGAACACATTTAAGAGTGAAATCTATAAATTTCAAACAACTTCCGGTCTTTATAATTCACTTCCGGTGTGACCGGAAGTACTTAAAATGACCTATAACTCCTCTCTGAGTGTGAAGGAATCATCCCTGATAATTTCGAGGAAAAATGCTCATTTTTGGACTACTTCCGGTTTGGAAAAAATAACTTCCGGTGGACATAATATTACTCGAGACACTCTATTTGCCTCCATAAGAAA